GTATCAAGTTGTGAACACTTGGAAACGAAAGGTTTAATTGGGAATGAATACACGAAACTCCGTGGCAACGGATATGCAGATTACAACAGACAATCTGTTGTAGTAGGTGTTCTCCCGAAGTTATGAAAGGAGAGGAATTTGCCAGAGAGATGCAAAGTTCGAGAGATTACGTGTTACGTGTGAGAAATTCAGTGGCAGCTGAGAAGCCGTCAGTCGAAGATAATTCTGAAGGCAGCCGAATACCTGAAGTGCTGATGGCGTTATTTCACGTGTTACAGTTGCAGTAATCTTGAGAGTGTAAGAACTAATTATAATTACGACCTTGGGAATATCAAATAAATCAATTCACCAATCAAACCCCGTCTACAAGTTACTAATACACACGGCAGTACCAAGTGGACGTGAGTAGTGTTGTCAAGGTATATGACGCTTCCATCTTCAGGGTCAAAGTCATATATCGCAGACAATTTATATTCAATATACGTAACTATAGCTGTAAATGTGAGTTGTATGGATATAATAAATCTTGATCTCTCGCAGTATGGAAAGAAAACAGATTGAAGGGATTTGAGAATCTGGTTCTCTGGAGAATGTTTGGTCAAACACGGAAGACTGGAGAAGAAATTGCACAGTGTGTGGGGGAGTCTTAATTTGAAATCTTCTCGAAACACATTTAAGATAATCGAATACAAAAGAGTTCCGGGTCAACGCGGTGGGAAGACAGGGACTAACCGCTTGAGCTATGGCGCGGCCAATTTTAAATAAAACAATTAAAATCAATAATTTTCTGAAGGAAATTGTGGATGGAGGTAGATCCTTTTCATGCTGCCTTGTCAACACAATAACCAGGTTATGTTAGAGTTACAACCTTCTTTAAACTATATATATCTGATATTGTCTTACGACATCCCTGTAGTGGTTTATGTGAGCAGAAGTTTGACACGATCGCCGTCCATTGTTGAGTAGCGTTGGAGCAAAAAGTCCACTACTTTCCCTCTTCTGCTTACGAAGTTCGACCGGATGTTTATACGAGTTTGAAAAAGCTGCCATGACACTGATTTTGGTTGTGCCATAATTGTTTCTTTGTGAAAGAGAACACGTTGAAGTGAAGCAGGTTTGGGTGACAAATACTGAAGAGCTTCCTACCGTGGAGAGTCAGAGGCAGTTCAGTCACTAGGCATCCAAATGCTTGTTAGGAGTATTCCAGTTTAATGAGAGAAAAAAACACTACCGAAAAAGGTAAAATATTTCAAGCACAAGAAAACAAAAAGAAGAACTTTCAAAACTGGCTTTTATGGGGCAAAAACAGGAGTAAGCCAAGTTCATAGCCCGCGCTATAGCTCAAACAGTTAGTCGCTGGCTTCCCACCGCGGCGGCCCGCGTTCAAACCCGGGTCTGGTCAAGTGGGATTTCCGGTGGACAAAGTGGCACTGTGACAGGTTTCCTCCGAGTACTTCGGTTTCCCCTGCCGATTCTCATTNCAAATTCTCCATCATCATAATCACCCGGAGTAGGCTACAATAGGCCAATTAGTGGCCACCGTGCCGAGTGGACCCAACTGGACTCCACCCCCCACTAAGCGAATTAAAAAGAAAAAGTCAAGTTCATAAATGTAAGCTTCTTGCCCCGATGTTGTGGCTCGTAATGTTTGGTGTGGCAGTTTTCCTACAGTAAAGGAAGTTGGGGGAGTATATATGATGAACTAAGAGTTGAACACCAATATTATGATAAGGAATTCCTAAGGTTCATAATATTTAATTGGACACGCCCCTCTCACTGAGACATTTTACTAATAATTTATCCTTACAATTTCTCTCCTTAAGATTAATCTAAAATTTACCTTCGCATTCACTTCTCGATCTTCACAATAAACTTCCCCAACTTGTTTCCTCACCAGCATGTAAATGTTTCTTGTTTCTCCTATATTAGAAAATTCTTTTTTTTTTTCATAATGTCTTTTACAGCCCACTCAGAACCCAGGCCTCTTATTCAGTTCCCTAATCATTTTTCACAGACGGTAGGACTCCTTGGGCGAGTGATCAGCCCATCGCAAGGCCACTATCTAAACATAGGACAACACAAAGACAGAATAAACGCACATCAAACATCCACACTTTGAATGGGATTCATCCCATGATCCCAGCGTCTAAGATAGTAAAGACAGTTCATGCCTTAGACCGTGAGGATACTGTGACCGGCATTACAAGATACTAGGCGACCTATATTGTCATGTCTTTTTGTGTAACAGGCCCATTTTTCATTTTTCCTTGAGTTGTAATTCAAGGTGGTCAAGCCCAGATGCATCAGAATGGGACGCCAAAGAGAAAGAAGAAGGTATTAACTGCGGTCTCAGAAAGTGCATATGCAGAGATGACCTTGGGAATAAATGTGTACGCATAAGTAAAATAAAATAAGTAAGATTTGAGGTTTTCACGGCGGTGACTATGAAGAAAGCAGTCTTCTGATATGTGACACCGTGTACAGGTGGTGTTAACCGACGTTTTGGAGGAACGTATCATCTCCATTTTCAGGGTAGTCTGCTTGTACCAGTTCTCACGGTCTCTTCGTTTTCGGATTTCTTATTTTTCGTTCTACTCTAAAGATGGAGGTGATACGTTCCTCCGAAACGTCGGTTAACAACACATCTACACGGTGCCACATCCCAGAAGACTGCTTTCTTCAAAATAAAATAAGTATTAAACAATTTGTTCAAACTTGTTTACATACAGTTTTCCGTCAATAATGCAACTGTTTATTTCTTCATTCACGTTTGCTTCGCTATTAACATAACATGTTTCGGCCCCAAGCGGCCACCCGCAGGTGTCCCATTATGCCAAACCTGCTACACTGCACTGAGTATTATCCCTTCCACACACGCATAACTAAACATTTCGTAATTGAATTGTTACAATTGCACTCAACTGTTGTGCATTAATTTTAGAAATTACAGTTCACTCCATTTAAAATCAATTTAAAATCGTTACAATTTTAAATTATATAAAATTCCTAATTCACCTTCATAAGGGGCTTAGACAAGTGGACAACATCCCATATGAGGTGGAATTAGGAGTCAGCTAAATAGAAAATTAACAAATTTAACGTACAAAAATTGAGTGCAACTGTAATATTTTAATTACTAAATGTTTAGTTATGCGCTTGTGGAAGGGACAGTACTCAGTGCAGTGTAGCAGGTTTGGCATAATGGTGCACCTGAGGATGGCCGCTTGGGGCCGAAACATGTTGTGTTAATTGCGAAAGCAAACGTGAATGAAGAAATAAACAGTTGCATTATTCACGGAAAATTGTATGTAAACAAGGCTGAATATACACGTAGTAAAGCAACAGGATGCTTAAATACAAGATTAATAAACAGTTTGATTTTCGTTTGCATAAAATTCGTGATCTGCAGGATAATGTGGAGCGTGATTTACAGTAACAAACAAATTTTCCAAGCGCATCAAAATATCTAGTATAGTTTCATAGAACTGCTTTAAAAAACAAAGTAAAACGACTATAACAACTCAAAACCTAATTCAGGAGGAAATTAAGAGGCGACTGAACACGGGTAATGCTTGTTACCATTAAGTCCAGAACCTTTTGTCTTCTCGTCTGCCGTCAAAAAACATAAAAATCTGAACATACAAAACTATGATTTTGCCTGAGGTTCTGTATGGGTGTGAAACTTGGTCTCTGACATTATGGGAGGAACATAGACTGAGGGTGTTTGAGAACAGGGAGTTGAGGAGAATATTTGGACCGAAGAGAGTTGAAGTGGCAAGAGGTTGGAGAAAACTGCATAATGAGGAGCTTAATAACTTATACTCTTTGCCAAGTGTAATTAGAATGACCAAGTTATGGAGGATGAAGTGGCAAGGGCATGTAGCACGAATGGGGAAAACACGAATGCATATAGGATATTCGTGGGAAAGCCAAAGGGAAAGAGACCACTAGAAAGACAAAGACGTAGGTTGGTGGACAATATTAAAATGGATCTTAGATAGGATTGGATAGTATGGATTCGATTGCTCTGGCTTGGGATATGGACCAGTGGAGGGCTCTTGTGAGCACGGCAATGAACCTTCGGGTTTCATACAATGCTGGAAAGTTTTTAAATAGCAGCATAACTAGTGGTTTCTCAGGCTCAGCTCCATGAGTGAGTGAATTATACAAATTGCGAAGTGTCGGATGATAAGAGACGCTGAATTTCTCTTTTATTTCTTAAATTACGCGTTTCTAATTTCTGCAAAGTAAGCATTCTATAAATGTTTAAATAATTGGAACATTAATTTTCCTGTGGCAGGACGAATTTGGTTTAAACTTCAGAGATATGTGGTGTTATGTAAGATTATGGGGGTACAGGAAAATCTATAATTAAATTTCTATAAATAGTAAATATACATCGTAAAACCTAATCTTGACACTCACCTCACACATCACAGCTATTAACAACGTCCGTGAAATAGGATCAACAAAACAAACTCCGTGGTTTTAGTCCGCAAGTTTACTATACCGACCGAGCGACCGCCACTTGTCAGCAAAGTTAGTGCCAACTTTAGCGGATAAATGGTGTCGCGTGGTCAGCGCAACAAATCCCCAAGGCCGTTAATTTCGGTTTTCTAGTCCGGACTTGAAATAGAAGCATTCTTAATACATTAATGATATATTCGCTTAACTGGTCAAGGTTTTTCTTCTTGCAATGGAACCCCAATGTCCATTACGGCGTTCTAAGAAGTCTGCCTTAAGAGAAACTTAGAAAGAAGAGTAGTTACAAAATTACACTTAATATTTCGCACTGCATAATGGATATTAATTTGAATTAACACACTTACTTGAGCTTAATTTAGGCTGGTTTTCAAGATGTGATACGTATTAAAAAGAAGTTTTATGTATGTCTGAGATTAGTATGGCGTCATCACGTTTTTATGGCTTATGTAACCTGACTACACACGAGGCAGCAGTTAAGGTAGACGAAAGTATAAAGCAACGTGACAGAACTGTGACGCTTCACTTCATTCTTAACTGCTACCAGAATTCCTTGAAGAGGTAGTTCTAGTGTTTCGTCATCAGCTTATACTCTACAATCAATTCATATTGTATCGTAAGTAACTCAGAATGCAGTGTAAAATTTTATTTCAAATAACAGGACTGTGAAAATGTGCACTCTATTTGTTTATTTATGTTTGTTTATGTTAGTGGCTCAGCCTGTATAGTGTCGATATGGAGAATTGTTTGATGAACGATGCGTGGGAAGAATGTTGAAAGAAGAGGGATTTGCTTAATTTGAGGTAGTATTTCATTTTTTTTGGAGGAAATGAGAGAAATCACAGAAAATTTCATTCAGTATACCCGAATAAAATTATAAGCATTTCATTTTAAATGAACACGTTCCGTCTCTTAAATTTCGTTATTCTAAAATTAAATATAATTAAATATCTCTAAAATAATTGTACCAATGGGATATCTCAGTCTGTAGAGCGACTGGCTAGGGATGGGGGCTGATGGGTCGGAGCTTCAAGTCCCTGTTGGAGCAAGATATTTCTCTTCACGTCACCTAGACCGGTTCTGGGGAACAGAAAGCCTCCTATCCAATTGGTACCGAGGGGTAAAACAGACGAGGTGTAAAGCTGACCACTCAAGTCTAACTAGTGAGAAGGTAAAAAATATATGGATATATAAATCAACTCCTCCATTCGCCTTCATCACGTAGTGCTAAATTAGTTGAACATAGGGACTATTTTACTATTTTTTACCAAATCATATATGTAATAAAATATTTTATAATCTATAATTATTTCAGAAATATTTTGCATTTATTTTGTTTTCGCCAGGAAGTAACTAAGTTTATGAGATTTTCGCGGTATTTGTGAACCATTTCAGTGTTAAAATCAATTGGTACATTTTTACGAAATATGAAGAATACGGTACCATCAGAGACCATGCAAAATAATAATTTCTTTAGGTTACTAAGATCGGAAATAACATTAAAATATAAGCGAATTTATGACAGGACGCGATACTAGTGTCACGTGATGTAGGTCCTGAAATTAGACACTAGATCCTGGAAATCTATTCAGACTTTGTTAAGGTAACTGTTTCTTTAGAATATAAGTTTACAATATGTCTACCGAGCGAAACTATTCATTTAGCGTTCAGTATGGCAGCAAAAACTTAAAGAATCATTGTAGTTAGTTAGTTAGTTATTGGAGAGGGTGGGTTTCCCCATGCACCACGACCAGTTTGATCTATTGTGCTTCCCTCTATGATATTCTACCAGTCTCTATACCCTACCGATACTGGTACTTACCATCAGTCCCGACCAAGCCCGCGAGTTCGGCCTCTACTGGCTTGGCGGTATCTATAATGCTTCCCCCATCTATCAGAGGCGTTAGAGACTACTGTTGGGCGGGAAATGTCCTTGAATTTGGCTCAGTGATCTCCTTAGGAGATATGAGGTTCTTTTACGTGCCGTAAAGCTACGACACGGGACCCACGGCTTGAAGACCCTCCCGGAGGACTTGTTCCCTGAATTTTTCCGCCCTTAAAAATTCCACGACCTCCGCCGGGTCATGAGGTGGGAACGTTACCTCTAGACTACGGAGGCCGCTAAGAATCATTGTAGCTGGGAATATTAAATCTACCATAACAATGCATCACAAATGTATCTAAAAAAATATTTATGAATTATTGTTCGTAAATCTAGAACAACAAATATGGCGGCGATGCGAGTCTGGTCTATATGACACAAATTTGATGTAGTAAATTAAGTAGTAAGTTCTTCCCGAAATATAATGATAATAATGATAGAAAAATAATAAAAATAGTTATATTCTATGTGTAATACGTTTAAAATTGTGAAAAATAAAATGTTACTAACATCAGTAGGATTCTATCCTACACGTAAACTCAGTACTATGATGTATGACCGAAACTGAATTTGATCGTTTGCTAACAGCGTGCATAGACTAAACACATTACTAAAGACACAAGCTTTGAAGGGGTATAGTCTGTGGAAAGGGAGTGTAGGGTTTACTTGATAAATTAAGAAAGTCAAGTAAGCAAAAGTAAAGCTATCTCTGTAACACGCCTTGGAGGCCCATAGGTTTGTGAGATGTTGAGGTTCCCACATTTTCTAGAAAATCTGCTCATAAATGGCCGTAAGGTTGTCAGCCTTACGCGCCCGCCGCCCGTTGCCCCCCAAGAATATTCCTGGTACTCATTTCTGTTAGAGGCTGAGTCGACCCCAGGGTTATAGTGCGGCTGGAAGGATTAGGTGAAGTGAAAAATCCAATTACCTCATCGGGATTCAATCCCGCGACATTCCGGCTTGTAGCATAGTGCCTCAACGAACTACGCTACGGCAAATTACTGTTAAAAATTTAGACAAACTTAGCAGATATAAAATAAATATTTTCTGACACATGTGTGCACAATACACACAATTTAATCAAAACCAAATAAGTTTCCTGGAACATAAAGGCGACACATTATAAGTGTAACAAATTTCGATAAAACGGAGGGCTGATATCAGGCAGAGATCTCCGGAATTTTTCTACCACTGACTAAGTGTGATAAGAGTGATCAGAAAATCTATAAGAATTCTTTGTACACTAGAATATGAAGGTAATTAATTTAAAGGGCCTGCTTACCGCGCCATTGCTTAGCAACGTTCACGGCGAGAACTACAGAAAACACAGTTCTTCTATCGTTGTGTGCGTGTATATTTCGGGCGTTACCTAACAACGGCTGCTGTTTAGAATCACATTTTAGCAACGGGTCTATACGCCAAGATATATATTCAACCAATGTATAATGAAGTAAAGTTATTTTTTCCCCATCCATAAATAGTGCAACACAATGCAGACATAATGAAGTGGAGGGACATAGCTGAATGTAGAATTATTTCTAATGTCGGCTGCAGATGCAGGCAATTGGTTAGATTAAGGCTACGGCCGTTTAACCCGGAGAAAAATACAGCAGTACCCATTCGATAGGAGGCTCGTCTAGGATGCTGTGGAGGGGATGTTTTCACACAGATATATCCTCCATCAACATCATCCATAAACAAGATTCACAGCGACTGTGATATACCGCACAAAACGAAAAATGGAAAAGCAGCGTGACAGTAAATCCAGCACACAAGATAATGCAGAGGACGTCGGAGAGTAACTGAACTCACTCCACATAATAATCACAGTCTGTTGCACTTGCTCACGCTGGTTCGCTCGCGGATTTCCTCTTGTCTCCTACCCTGAAGATGGAGGCGATACGTTCCCCCGAAACGTCGGTTAACACATCTACACGGCACCACAGCCCAGAAGACTGCTTTCTTCTGGATCTGTTTCTGTCTTCAGGTGAGAAAGGAAGACACCTACTCAGTTGGGCCCCATAGAAAGGGCTACTCGGTCACTGTCATGATTGAGATTAGCCCTTTCTAAGGGGCCCAACTGAGTAGGTGTCTTCCTTTCTAACCTGAAGACAGAAACAGATGCAGTTTCCTAAACGTCGTGTCCTCTATTATCTAGAATTCTGGTGGATGGAAAAAGTCTAAAAACCCTGTAATTTTGTGTCTCATCCACCACCGTCAGAACCCTTGAGACTCATGTCTCTGATTCAAATTCCGGATCCCACAAAATTTTATTGAGGAGGCGTCATTCTCGAAACGTCTTGCAGGTTCTAGGCCAACTTCAGCCCCCTTAGTTGCTGAACCAACCAGGAGGGAGAGAGGCACGCATACGCTCCCACCTCCCCTCCCCGTTCTCGCGGCAACATGACCACTGTAGGGATCTTGCCCATCCCCGCTTTGTGCCCACATCCAAGTGAGTCACGAGTGAAACTTGCAAACTTTCAGCACGTCAACAGTATGAAAATTCAGAGAACCTTTATAGGTTTAAACACTTAAATTTAACAACTTAAGATACAACGTAACACAATATGACTAATATACGTAGTTAACACAGATAGTATAAATAAGAATAACACGTAAACGTAAGTCAAAAATGTAAATATTGTTCAATATAGGAACAATACGATAATTTACACAAGTAAACTGACGGAAGCAGGGATTGTGGGTTCGAATCCCATTTAGGGCATGGATGTTTGTGTGCGTTTTTCTGTGTTTGTGTACAGGTAGAGGTCTTGCGACGAGCTGATCACCCATCCAAGGAGTCCTACCCTACGTAGTAAAACCGAAGTGAAACGGAGAGTTTCATGGAGGTAGGCCAAGGCCCAAATGAGGGCTGTAGCGCCAATGATAAAATACCCCCCCCCCCAAAAAAAAAACCTGACTAAGGTATAATAGCCCGAAACGCTTCTAATAATAAAGGAGATGTATATACTCAGTGCAATTGTACACAATTGCGTTTGATGGTACCTCCTCTGTTAATAGTACAAAACACAATATGATTCTTAAATACAATACTTCGAGAAGAGTAACATCTGGGATCGAATCCAGATTCTTCAGTCGTCCAGCCCGTTGATCAGTCTCTATCCCACCTTAACAGATTTACGATAACATGAAGATTAAGAATCGGACAAAAATGTATGCGACTTAATTATTTATTATTTATCGAGCGATACAATTAATCTTGGCTATTCTTGATTTGTATTTGAAGTTTCAATTTTGAGTACTGCATAATGATATGGGGGTTACGCGGTAGCGTAGTTGGTTGAGGCACTATACTACAAGCCCGAAGGTCACGGGTTCAAGTCCCGATGAGGTCACTGGATTTTTTTTCAATTAATCTAATCCTTCCGGCCGCACTAGGCCTCTAACAGAAATGAGTACCAGGAATTAATTAAATAATTTTCCTGTGGAATAAAGTGCGGCCAGCGCATAAGGCTGACAACCTTACCGCCATCTTTGAGCCGATTGTCAAGGTAATGCGGGACCCTCAACGTCTCACAACCCTATGGGCCTTCACGGCCTGTTACAGGGATAGCTTTACTTTACTTTTTTTTTTTATTTTTATGATCAGAGGGATATATATATATGTATAAGGGAAAGTCCTAAGAGGAACATTTCAAACACAAGAGACAATGATGATTTTCAAACGCTTTATACCGCCAGCATATTCATGTATAAATAAGTTTGTAATATAAAACTTAGCGAAGAAAATATTATTAACAGTACGCTAGGTTAAGCTCAGTGCAGTGAGGGCATGGACTAGAAGATACAAGCACTGTAACATGGGCAAGCGAGGTGGGAAATGTCCGTTTTACGGGTAGGATCGTAAAACCGATGGAAGGTTCACGAGATATTGGCAGTTTAAGTTAGATATTTCGGAGAGGGAGGGGAAAATGTTGCTGGGTCACGTTATCACACTCACATTCAAATTATGAGTTTTACCTTCTGTGATATAACGCCATGTAGTTAAGTGAAAGACAACTGAAATGTAATAAGTATATGTCGCCTTAATCTTCACGATCGAAGGGTAAGTCAAGCAAATAAGATCTAAAATTTGTGATGATTGTAGGGAGGCAGGAAGATAGGGAGTAGTTCTATAGATTGGGGCCAGCTGAGTAGGTTTTACCTGAAGATGGAAACAGAATCTAGTCTCCGAAACGTTGTGGTTTGAAAAGTAAGCAGGGTGGTTTTTAGATAAAGACAAGCTGATGGATAATGTCCCAAAAACTTTATGGTTGTAGTGAGTGAAGAAAGCTTCTGCGTGCTTAATGTTTCCAGATTCAACAGTGTGAACAGCATCAGGACGCCGTGAAGGTCATTATGTACATAACCGGTTTCCTAGTGTGTCTACTTCTCAAGGGGAATGTAGCCGCCAGAACTCCGAACAATAGTCTTTTAGAAGGGCTGCTGAAGTTTATACCTGAAGGAACTCGATATTACGAGGAGGAACCACCAGATGCGAAGAAGATTATACCAGAGTATGACTTCATTGTGGTTGGTGCGGGCTCAGCTGGTTCTGTACTGGCAAATCGTCTCACAGAAATCTCTGAATGGGACATCCTTCTCGTTGAAGCGGGCGGTAGAGAGAATTACGCAATGGACATACCTCTTCTTGCAAATTTTCTGCCATTCACTGAGGCGAATTGGAAGTACAGGACTGTTCCTAGCGATAATGTGTGTTTGGGCATGGTAAACAGACAGTGTTTGTACCATAGAGGGAAAGTGATGGGCGGAAGTAGTACTATTAATTTCATGGTCAGCACCCGAGGGAACAGAAGAAATTATGATCAGTGGGAGGAAATGGGGAACACTGGTTGGGGATACAAGGATGTCTTGCCATATTTCCTAAAGTTAGAAAATATGACGATCCCAGAGCTGGCTCGTGACACGAAGTACCATTCTACCAGCGGCGAACAACCTACTTCCTACGCAACGTACCGAACTCCTTTGGCTGACGCTTTTGTGAATGGAGGGGAGGAACTAGGTTACAAAATAGTAGATTATAACGGAGAAACGCAAACTGGATTTAGTTATCTGCAATCTACAACTAGAGATGGTGCTAGGTGGGGTGCGTCTAGGTCATTTCTACATCCCATAAGAAATCGGAAGAATTTTCACGTCAGTAAGAGGAGTCTTGTAACTAAAATTTTAATCGACCCAATTACGAAAACCGCGTTCGGTGTACGGTTTGTTCGTAATAAGAAGGAATATGAGGTGCGTGCTAGAAAAGAGGTGATATTATCAGCAGGTGCAGTTAATTCCCCTCAACTTTTGATGTTATCAGGAATCGGACCAAGGAAACATCTTACGGAGATGAATATTCCTGTTATACAGGATCTGAAGGTAGGATATAATCTCATGGATCATCCGGGAATGCCTAGCGCTACATTCATCGTGAATCAGTCTGTGACGTATCTCACAGATGCAGTCATGAGTAACAGAAGCGCTTTTCTAGATTATTTGTACAATCGTCGAGGTCCGTTTTCCGTGCCAGGAGCAAGCGAAGGAATCGCTTTCATCGACACAAAAGACCCTAAGAATCCAGATGGAAACCCTGACGTAGAACTATTTTTCCTTGCAGCAGGAATTCCTTCCGAAGTAACGTATTATAAACTGCTGGGATACACTGATGAATTGTATAATACCGTGTACAAACATCTGGAAGGTGGTCATTATTGGACAGCAGTGTCAATGGTCTTACAGCCGAAAAGTAGAGGAAGGATTATGTTGAAGTCTTCAAATCCGCGCCAGAGTCCACTTATATATCATGACTTCTATCATAATCCTGAAGACTTGGAAACACAGCTTCTTGCAATAAAAGAGGTGATGAAGTTGAGTAAGACGCAGGCGTTTCGAAAGTTCGGTTCCAAGTTACACGATATTCCTATACCAGGCTGCAAACATCTGCTGTTTGGCTCTGATGATTACTGGAGATGTGTTTCGAGGCACACGGCTACAGGCATTTGGCATCTTAGCGGGACTTGCAAGATGGGTCCCCATTGGGATTCTAGCGCTGTCGTAGGCCCCAGATTGAGAGTGTACGGTGTAAAGGGACTTAGAGTTATTGACGCATCAATCATGCCAATGGTTCCCACGGCGCATACAAACATCCCAAGCATGATGATTGGGGAGAAGGGAGCTGACCTTGTGAAACAGGACTGGGATAGGCTTGATTGAGCGTTCCTACAAGCTTAGCTAGGCGATATGTGAACACTGCTTTGCAATATGAGGTTTAGGTTGCTTATTGTAAGCATATTATTAAATTCAGAGTATAAATGTACATACAAATTTATAAATCCCAGTCCAGTGACAATTTATATAAGGATAATACAGTAAACCGTCGTTATAACTTGTCCGGATGTAACATGTTTCTTATATAACGGATACAATCTGACTGTACAGTTGCAAATTTCTTAAAGATGTTGACACATTAAGAAGAGGTTTAATTAGAAAAATATTTTAAATAAAAATGAACCGAAATATAAAAACCTTTATATAATCACACTGGTTATGTGTCCATGGTATATTTCGGATAATACCCCTTCACTTTGTTATAACGTACATCAGTGACAACACTTACCCCCAAACCAAGCCCCTTATTCGTCCGTTATAACGAGGATTTACTGTGTTTACAGATGTTTTTGTGAGCATTTATGCTTCAGGAAGGTAAAATGAAAGAAATGGAGAAATGTAGACGTATGTTACCAGGTAACACGCGACAATATTAATAAACTCTCTAAGTTGTATCATCTAAATTTTTCTTAATGCACATATACACGTTATATGAGTCTGCTCTGTGAAACTAAAGAAGACTGCATTTTGTATGCTTTAACATATTTACAGGGTTCATGATAAAGTATCATATTAAGTGGTACAAATATTAACAGTTCATGTACCCTGATCTGAAAGTTTTAAATGTTTTATAAGACTTGTTATCTAGCTTCTATACAATATAACAATGTTGTCTGCTTGAGAGAAATTGAGTGATGCGTTCACTGAAAAAAAAAGTATGAGAGAATGTAGCGTAACACCTAATGCTTTAAAGCGGAGCCATCTATTTCGTAACATGTAGGCACACAAATGTGAATCACTAAATGAAACGAAATATAATTGTTCGTGATTTAAGAATGTAATTAATATAAAGAAAATACATTTATTTCAGAAAATGAATATCATTTTAAATTAACATATAAGATTACAAAATGAGAACCGTCAATCATACAATTATATCCGTATGTCTATACAAATTGGCAAATTTAATTATTGAAAAATGAATATGAAATTTATTTCAGGATGTCTAATTGATATATAAGTTGCAAATTTATGTAATGTGAACCCTATTTCCTACAACAGTGCAGATAATAACGCTCCAGTACCATGTAAGAACATATTTACTCATGAATTAACTCCTACATTAGAGTTATATGAGGAACATGCAAAAGGTCCTCACTCATGGTGCCGAGCCCTTCTTGAGAGGTCGCCAATTTTGCAGCTACTCAAGAATTTACCAACATTTTGTGGAACCAGAATATCCATTACCGTGTTCACGAGAGCCCTCCATTGGTTCCTATCCTGAGCCAGATCAATCTAATCCATACAATTCAATCCGATCTCTTTTACTATTCTCCACTCACCTACGTCTTGTTCTTTCCAGTGGTCTCTTTCCTTCTGTCTTTCCCACGAATATCCTATATGAATTCCGCTTCTCCTCCATTCGTGCTACATGCCCTGCCCACCCAATCCTCATCAATTCGATCACTCTAATTATATTCGTGAAAGGTAATACAGACATCAAACGAGAAGCTATGTGTAATTGTAGAAATGGTAAATTTGAAAGTAGCCCTGTGTAACTTACGGCACGAAAATCACAACAGATGTAAGACGTTTAGAAGAATGGTGGTGACGTTGCGCACGTGGCACGAAAACGACTTACATTGGTGCATTGAAAGGATACCCATCCGTCCATCCGTCCGTCCATCAATCACTCACTCAATCAATCAACCAATCAATCAATCAATCCATAAATCAATCAATCGCTCAATCAACCCATCCGTCCATCAATAAATCGATCAATTACTCAATCCATCAATCACTCAATTAATCAATCAATCCATCCATCAATCACTCAATCAATCCATCTACCGATCCATCCATCAATCAATCAATCAATCAATCATTCCAGCCACCGATCCATCCATCCATCCGCAAAACCGAAAGTATAGCCCTGTAGGCTTCTTACTGGAGTTAATGTGTCAGTGTTGGCAGAGGTATCCGCAAACATTGGTTCCAGAAACAAGTCCGAAAGTTTAGGCTTAAATTTTGTTTTTTGAAATTTTGCCTCTCATCGAAAGGTTATATTGTTTAAAAATACATTTTATGAGAACTCAATACCCTTGGACCTTAGGTTTTCTTTCTACTAACAATTCCTTTCAGTAATAAAATATAGAGTTCGGCAACGGAATTTGGCGGCGAACCTGGTGGTTGGGAGAACTAATGTCGCGGGGAAAATGGCGGCTCGGATCAAACGCGTACAAGTGAGAACAAAAAATAATGTTATTGAATAGAACTTTGTCAGTTTGTATTATTGTTACACTCTCTTATATGCAAGTTGTGCATCCGATCGGCCGTGAGATAATTTTAGCTGTTTTGCCGTTTTGTCATTATGTCCAATAGGCAGATATTTCTGTTATAGAAGACTGATGAATAAGCCCAGCGTTTCGGAGGAACAATATTAATATAATATAATATTAAGGGTTGAAGAATAAACCAAGGACGGATCGATCAGAAGAAACAGGTAAGGTGAGATCCCTCTGAAGTACACGGGTTTGCAACTTAGGAGAGAGTACTGTTCATACTCACCACAGTGAGAACTTAAAATTCAATAAAGCTGAACTACTACGATTAACATGATATGTATCAGTAAACCTATACCAATGGTATAGCACTTTATTATACACCAGTGACTCAATATATCTCAATTAATTTGAAAGCAGTATTTTTTTGAAAAAAAAAAAGTGTGATCATATTCACGAGGAATTAGTGCGTAAATTTTATTACATTTAATAATAATCAGAAATGTATGCTTAAAATACGATTCTGATATCTGAATAAACTGTTTCGTGTTCTGTTATGTCCCTCGCTTCAATGACTCGATGGTTACAAATTGGCTCGCTAAAATGTGTTAGCAAAATTCTCGCTACAGAAGCTTCTACTGTGACTTCGGAACAAAAAACAACAAAATCAGTACAGTGGCATTACTAAAAAGGCGTTCTGATTGTCAATATACAGATATCAACAGCAAGGATATGATATTTTTTCTCCTAAGCTCGACAAGTTGACAATATGCAGGTATTTCCGCAATCGAGAGCTACAGTGAATGATAACTTCCTGGAAATGTGCGTCTACTGAGCAAAGGGATTGCTAAGGCACGAAAATGTCACATTATCGGGGAATCTATGCACTATAGATGATGATGTTTCGAATAAAGTTAAAGTTGTTCCAGTCTTTAATTAAACCCCACGTCATGAAAACCTAGTGGGAGTGGAGGTATAGCTCCAATATTCTTTTCATGGGCACTAGATGGAGATAGTGCTGAGCGTCATGCCTCAGGCCGCTTTACTTCTCAAAAAGGGCCCTCGGTATTCTTGGAGTAGGAGGCTGGATGCCCCCAGAGATATTCTGGACGCTGTGAAGAGAAAATCTCTTGTCCGTGAAGTGAATCGAACGTAGACCGTCGCTATACCGACTAAGCTATCCCGGCTCAAATAAAGCATCTGGAAAGATACAATTGAAAACGTACCTCTGTCCAAGGACACTGTAGATCACAGTAGAGTGTTATGCGGAAGGATATAAAGTAAAGGAGGGGTATTTTATCCTGGGATGTGACACCGAGGAGTTTGATAGAATGTTACCGACTTTGCTTTCTGATTCCATCTTGCTTTTTGTTTCTTAGGGTAACTTTGAACCTGAAAGTGAAGGCAGCATTTTCTTCCTAACGTAGACGAACTGTACTGCGTTACATCTTCATAATCGCCAATGTAAGGACTTGAAATATAAGATACAAAATCAGGTTGTTAACCTTCATCTAGATTAATGTACAGATGGAATTACGGTTTGTAGTGCTTCCAGCACTTGTTCGTTATTTGCATGTCTACAAATTCAACGGAGCCGGGATAGCTTATAGCGACTGGTTACGGGCTGGACGAAAGAGGGGCTGGAATTCGAGTCCTGGTAGTGTCAAGAATTTTCTCTTTTCCACGTCGTCCAGACCGGCTCTGGGGCCCACCCAACTTCCTATCCAATGGATACCGGGTGCTCCAGGTGCTATTTCCCCGGGAGTAAAGCGGCAGGGGCATGAAGCTCACCACTCACCTCAAACTAGTGCCGAGGTCAAGAAAATGTGGATCTATACATCCATTCCCCTATACGTCTTCATGGTGTAGTGTTTAGTTAAGTACGGGGGCAACTTTACCTCTTCTTAAATTCGCTTATTGGGGGGGGGGTAGTCCAACTGGGTCCACTCGGCACGGCGGCCACTGAACGGCCTACTGTAGCCTGCCCCAGGTGATTATGATGATGGAGAATTTGGTGGAATGAAGATTGGCAGGGGAAACCGAAGTACTCGGAGAAAACCCACCCCACCGCCATTTTGTCCACCAGAAATCTCACTTGACCAGACGCGGGATCGAACCCGGGCCGCCGCGGTGGGAAGCCAGCGACTAACCGCTCAAGCTATGGCGCGGCCCCAACTGTACCTTACAAATTCAACGATAATTCTATGTAACTCGTGTCTCATTCTTAAACAGGCGAAGTAATGAACAAAATGTTTTATCATTTGCTTTTAACGAGAATGAACTCGTGACTGAAATGTAATGGTGTGTGGCTGGAAGGAACAAAATGCGTCAGCTGTTTCGATGAAGGACATGACACAACAGAAAACAAGGAGAAAGCACCGGGTGTTATTCGAGGTCAGCAAGTTCCGAGGACAATACCCTAGCCCGGAGTTATTAAGACGACTGTCTATTAGAAAAAACGGAGGCTCTGAAGGCCAGACTCTTTTTTTTTCTACAACATAAGAATGTGAAAGACTTTATAATTGCGAAATGGCTGTAGCCTGGCTGAGGCTAGTAACACGTCTTTGTCAGAGCACTAAATTAGGAGTTGAAACAACAGTTTCCTTGAAACCCAAACAAAAAAAAGAACTCCATGCCTTGAGCCCGCAAGCGATGTATACCGACCGAGAGGCCGCTGTTTGTCGGCGATGTTAGTTCCAAATTTAGCGGATAGAGAGTCTCTCATGGTCAAAGCAACGAATCACCACGGCCGTTAATTTCGTGTTTCTAGACCGGAGACGCTATTTACGTGAAATAGCTCCTCAATTACTCTCACGAGGCTGGGTGGACCCCGTTCCAGACCCACTACTTCTCAGAAAATCTGTTAGCGCCGAAAATCGAACTCAGACCTCTGGATCTGTAGCCAAGAACTCTAATCACTAGACCACAGAGGCGGTCAAATTTCAGCATTCAAAGGGGGGAAAACATTGCTATGTAGGATTACATGTTGCTGCTTCATGATGGTTTTTTCTTGGCTTATTTTTGGACCTTAAAAAAGGAGGCGCAATATTGCTGTGAAACATCATTTGAATTTCACCGTGACTATAAGGCTTTATATAGAACTCTACAAATTAGTGCTTTCTCTGCTAGCGGTTAATTCAGTCACAAATATAAAAGTTGAATTCAATAACTTCAGGGAAGAAAAATCAACTTAGTTTATTTCCCACTACACACAACTCATGCTTAAACACTAATCTCAAGCTTGAGAGTGACAAAAAGGCGATATGCTCACATGCGTGGATTTCAAGCCACTTTAGCAGGGACATTCTCTTCCTGAAAATACACATTATGACTGCATTTGTCATTCGTCTGACTGCATAGCAGGATATGAACCGAACACCTGTGACATTGAAGATTTGAGCTTGTAGTACATACACGGAAATCAGATGTTAACATTTAAGATCTGAAGCAAGGGTTTTCCAGTTACAGCCTGTTCAAGTACGATAAGGAATAAGTTAGAAAAGGATTGAATTTCGAGCTTAAAATAGAAATTAATTTACCAAATGTCATATGAGACTTCAAGTGTCCTTGCTTAAGTCATTAAGTTCTTTCCACGTCAACAAATTTGGCGCGCAGTCTTAATTTTTTATTTTTT